CAGAGACACATCCGGAGGATCGGGAGAGGCTCACATCCTCCCCAGTTTGGAATACTTCTCACAGCAGTTTGATATGAACAAAGCAGCCAGAAAAAGTTTCTGTTTCTTTGTTTACAGCATTTGGTGACCCCCAAAGGGCTCCCCAAGTAGCTCACATACAAAACAAGATGGAAACACCCACTCTCATTCAGACATGTTGGCAGCACCAGCCTAACCGCATGACATGCAGCCCGAGACTGGGCACTGAGGATCCTGGGTCCTCCTGGATCCACTGGGTTCCTGCCATGGAGAGTCTTCCCTTCGCAGCAGCTGCGAAAGAGAAGGATAGGCAAGAAGGAGCTGACTTGGCCATTCGGCCATTTCAGGTGCCCCTGCGATGCTGCCCTGACTTGGCAAATTTGTTGTTGTTTAGTCGTTTAGTCATGTCCGACTCTTCGTCCCCTGGCAATTCCTCCAGGGCCCATTTGCTCCACCCCCATTGTTCTGAGGTCCAGCGCCAAGGGCCTTCTGGCGGTTCCCTTATTGAGAGAAGCAAAGCTACAGGGAACCAGGCAGAGGGCCTTCTCAGTAGTGGTGCCCACATTGTGGAACGCCCTCCCATCAGATGTCAAAGAGATAAACAACTACCTAAAATTTAGAAGACATCTGAAGGCAGCCCTGTTCAGGGAAGTTTTTAATGTGTGACATTTTAATGTATTTTTCATCTTTGTTGGAAGCTGCCCAGAGTGGCTGGAGAAACTATTATTATTGTTATTGTTATTGTTGTTGTTGTTACTGCTGAACTGCTGTTTGCCCAGGCTCAGCCTCGCCTCTCCGTCCACACGTTTCCTTGCACTGTGCCCGGCATTTGTGGCCAGTCAAGATTCTGCCCGTTCTGAACAGAGCAGATGCTGCTGGGGACGTAACACCGCCATGACGGGTGAGGGCACAGTGTGATGCCAAATGCGCCCTCTGGTGTGATATCCTGAGGGCGGGCAGAGGCAGAAGCCACCGGCGGAAATGGCGCTGCCACCATGCTGGGCCCAGTGGTGCCATCCTAGGAGATACGCAAAGAGTAGGATCAGGGTTGAAACGGTGGGTGTGAAACACACAAGTTTGGTAGGATTGCTACATTTTACAACAGAGCCATTGATTTAAACAGAGCAAAATGAAAAGGTGAAAAGGAAAACGTAAAATAGAATCCTAGAATAGGGTCCCGTGGGTCATCTAGTCTGACCCCGCAATGCAGGAATCTCAGTGAAAGCATCCAAGACAGATGGCCGTCCGACCTCTGCTTCAAAACTTCCCAGGAAGGAGAGACCACAAAATGGGCAGGTTAAATGCTTAAGTTGTGGGGGAACGATTCCCAGGGCGACGATTCCCAGGGGGAAACTGTGAGAAGGGCTGGACAGAGGAATCCCAAGGGGACAGCAGAAGGGTAAGGCCCATAGAGGAGGAGGAGCGGGTAAGGGAGGCAGAACTAGGAAGTCCAGAAGTGACCCCCGAGGCCGAGCAGCCACAGGAACCAGAGCCATGACCAAGTGGACCAGCGGCGCCCAACCCAATGGCCCCGTCACAGCCGGCAGCCACAGAACAAGAGCCAGAAGCAGGATCCCCTAACGAGAGACACCCGAGACCACAACGCATACGTAGGCGACCAGCATACCTCAATGCTAACCTTCTGGGTGCAACGGGAGCTTAGAGGGGAGGGGTGTTATGTATTAAGCTTGGATCCTTGAACAATAGGCAAGTAGGATCGTAGAATGCAACAACTGATTGGCTTGCAGGAAAAGACCAATCAGGCTCCAGGAGGAAGTTAATCAGCCTATTAGGCTAGTAGGATCGTAGAATGCAACAACTGATTGGCCTGCAGGAAAAGACCAATCAGGCTCCAGAATGGAAGCAGAATCAGCCAATCAGACGGGACTCATTGTGTAAATAATGTATACAAAAGCCTGAGGTTTGGGGGGGCAATTCAATCACTGTTTTACAAGCTGCAATAAAGAGCATGAAATCACTGCAGGACTCCGAGTATATTTCATTCCCTTTGACCTTACCGCCTTGGGTGACCCTGCTGGGAGTACGAGATTCCCGACGGCTTCGCTCACAAGGGTCATAGGAATGTGCAAGCCCACTCACCATGACATGTGAGAGAACTGAGATAGATTGCACTGAGCCCTGGTCTCATTAGACAAAGCATTCCACCAAAAAGGCTCTGGCTCTGGTTGAGGACAGCTGGATATGTTTTGGGCCAGGGCCCACCAGTAGGTTGCTGTTAGATGAGCGTCATGCTCCTTGGGAGGGGGGGGGTGTATTGGAAAATAATTCCCACAGATAAGAAAGGTCACAGACTGTTTAGGGCTTTAAAGGTTAGCACCAAAACCTTGAACCTGATTCTATACTCCACCTGGAGCCAATCCAGCTGATGAACAACCAACTGAATGTGGGCTCTCCACAAAGTCCAAGTAAGAACTCATGCATCTGCATTTTAGACCATTTGGAGTTTCTGGAGCAGTCTCAAGGGTAGCCCTGTGTTTTTATCTATCTATCTATCTATCATCTATCTGTCTATCATCTATCTATCATCTATCTATCTATCTATCTATCATCTATCTATCATCTATCTATCTATCATCTATCTATCTATCTATATCTATCTGTCTATCATCTATCTATCTGTCTATCATCTATCTATCTATCTATCTATCTATCTATCTATCTATCTATCATCTATCTATCTATCTATCTATCTATCTATCTATCATCTATCTATCTATCTATCTATCTATCTATCTATCTATATCTATCTGTCTATCATCTATCTATCTATCTATCATCTATCTATCTATCTATCTATCATCTATCATCATCATCTATCTATCTATCATCTATCTATCTATCATCTATCTATCTATCTATCTATCTTTCATCTCTCTCTCTCTCTCCCTATCTATCATCTATCTATCTATCTATCTGTCTATCTTTCTATCTATATCTATCTATCTATCTATCTATCTATCTATCTATCTATCTATTGCATTTATACCCTGCCCTCCCTGGCTCAGATGTAGAGCAAGTTAAAGTAGTCTAGTGTGCAGGTGACTGCTGCATGGATCACCATGGCTAGGCTGGAAAGGGACAGATACGGTGCCAATCGCCTAACCTGGCATAGATTAAAAAATGCCACTTTAGCTACATTTGTGACCAGTGCCTCCATAGAGACAGAAGCATCCAGGATCACACCGGGACTCCTGGTGGCGGGTACAGGTGATTATTGCGCCCCATCAAGAGCTGGGAGCTGGCAAACCGAACCAAAATCATTCCAGCCCAGCACAGACCAGAAAAACTGAGTGTCACCAATCTTCTTCTCCTTCCATTGCAGCACTTCTGGAAGCTGCTTTCCATGTCCCACCATGCAGCCTCCCCTCCCCACGACACATCAGTCAGCACAGCATCTCCTGAGGTTGCAGAGGAGGAGGCGGCCAATGGACAAAGGCGGGAGGAGACAACTGAGCAGGTCATGGTGAGGGGGCAGATGGGTGAGGAAGGGGGCATGTGGGGTCAGTGGGGTGGTGGGAGGGGGGCCCTCGATTTGCCCTCCCAAAATGTCGGGGGGTATGCCTGATCAGTCATCTCTGAAACTTTTTCCCATGTGAGGCTTAAATTGGGCACAAACATGAATCCTGCACTAGCTGAGACATTTGTTTTACTTTGCTGCCAAATCCTCTGTTGAAATAATAGGGAACACAAAGAGGAGGGGTGGGGCTAAGAGCAATTGTTGTGCAAGAAAACTGCTGCTCCGGATGAAGATGCAAACTGTAAATTCTGAGATGGTCCACAAGATGGCAGGAGAGTACCGTGGAGTTTGTTTCTAGCTAGCTAGCTAGCTAGAAACAAACTTTATTCGCATCAGCCGATGGCCATAGCAACAATAAAACATTACAATATACACAGAAAAAGGAAATTTAGTATAAAAGCACAGTTTAGGGTCCTGAAACAACAATCAATTTGCACTATTGAACCCCAAGAATGGATGCAGTACTATCACTCACTTTACCAAGATCAGGATCATAGCTGTCAACGTTTCTCTTTTTTTAAGGGAAATTCCCTTATTCCGAATAGGATTCCTCGCAAGAAAAGGGAAAAGTTGACAGCTATGATCAGGATGCTCAGCCTAATCACCCAACAGTATCTCCAGAAAATTTACCAGCTTGGCTCCCAGTATCTATAACTGAGGTCAAAAACCTCATTACGCAGCTAAAAAACAATAAAGCCCCGGGCATTGATCATTTGCCCCCTGCTTGCGGCAATATTCTCTCATATTGATTCATCTGGCCTACTCCCCAACATCTGGGCCACTGCAGTAATCATCCCAATATTCAAAAAGGGCCCTACATTGGATCTGGCTAGCTGTAGACCTATCAGTCTCTTACCTATTATTAGCAAACTAAACGCAAAGCATCTCCATAACAAACTAACCAACTGGATTGATGCCGAGGTTATCCTCGCTGAGGAGCAAGCAGGATTCAGGCAAGGCAGATCTACTATAGAGCACCGTGGAGATTCTTAGACTTGCCCTGTGTTATGTACTGAGTTGAATAGGATCCAAATTGCAGCAGTCTGATTGGTCCTAGAACAATAGGATTCAGAATGCAGCAGATCCCGCCACAAACTTCCCAAGTGTGAATGGGCTGGTTTGCTTTTATCGGGAACGTCTGCCCCATTCACATCACAAGATGGAAGAAGGAATATCTCCATCCGTACTCCGCAATGGCACTGGGGATCCCATTCCTATGACTGTGTCTTCATATCCCACCCTGCACTACAGACTGTGAGCCCAATTCCAATCCAGGAGGATTGAGAATTTCATGCAGTGCCCTGTTTGGAGTGCATATTTCGATTCAGCCAAGAGATGCACTTGTAGAAAACCTAATTCTTCACGCAGCTCTTCTTCGCTCGATCAGGGTGAAATATACTCAGAGTCGCAAAGTGATTTCATGCTCTTTATTCAGCTCATAGTGGTGAGGAGGAATGAATGAAAGTCCCCTCAAAGTATCTGCTTTATATACATTATTTACACAATGGGCTGCACATGATTGGCTAATTCTGGAATTCTACGGTAAGCCAATCAGGTTGTGGATTCACTTATATCTGGAGCATGATTGGGTGGTTCCTGCCAACCAATCATACTGCTGCATTGTTCTAGGACCAATCAGACTGCTGCATTCTGAATCCTATTGTTCTAGGACCAATCAGACTGCTGCAATTTGGATCCTATTCAACTCAGTACATAACAACCTGGGACTTTCCCAACACGGTCAGTCAGAGTACAAACAGTTCAAGAGCTTGACATTGTCTTGAATCCACTAATAAGGTTATTTCAACTCAACTTTCCATAGTCCCCACTGATGTTTCAGTAGCTATCACAGACCCGAAGCCTTTCTCACAAATGTGCATGGCCACCAGGCAGCAGAGCTTTAAGTTCAGAGTTTTTCTTTTCTTGGATGGGCTACTTTCCCATTTGTCCCTCATTTCCCTCTACAGAATGTGCAGAAACCGCCCTCTTGACCGCTGGACCCACTCTTAGTCTCACCCGCTGAATGTGCCAGAGCTTGTCTTCGTAAGCAGGGGAAAACCCTTACTCACCAAAGGTGTGTGATATAAAATGGTTCTCGGTTAATTAGATGCCATCTATAAGCAGAACAAATAAATCGCTGTGTTTAACAAGAACGTAATTACACCAAGAGAAACAACACTTTATGACAGGAAAGTAGCAATTATTTTAGGCAGCTCTTTAGGAGCTGTAATTTACTTTTGGTAGTTGCACGACAGCATGCTGTTTCATCTGCCACATTTGTTGGTTGATCGTTATTCAGCATTTTTTCACTTGGAAAATGGTTTTGTAGTATGTTGAGAAGCCTTGGATATATTGCTTTTTAAATCTTCTTCAGTGACAGAGAATGCACAAATAGATCTTTTTTATATTCAATAGCATTATAATTGGCATTACTTTCAAGTGAGTGTTTTGAAGCCATCTCAAAGAAAACTTTCCCCTCCAATATAAACTTCTGCTGCTCACAGGTGGGTGGAAAATTAATCCCACCAGGTTTCAGTTACATAACAAAACAGCTAGCAATGCCAAATAAAGTGACTTAAATAAATATAGCTAAATAATCGTGACATTTTGTGAGGCTGCTGTACTTTTCTGTGAAAGCATTTTTTGGATCAAGCAGCAACAGAACATTTGAACAAAGCTATCCTCTATAGATTTGCCCAAAGCTGGCAGAATGCTGACAAGTGTTTTTGTGTAATTGGGAAGCAAACAAATAGATTTCTAGAGGAGAATTCTTTAATAAAAACCAATGTAGGCAATTACCCAAGACTTCACTGGAGGCAGTGCTGACAGCTGCAAGGTACATCTAATGGCTCATCAATTACTAGCAGCCAAAAGGTAGGGTTTACTGTCAGGGATAAGACGGGCTGATGCACACTAATGATTAGTTCACTATGCCATTACACGTGGCTTCATTATCTCCTGAACTTTGTTTGCTGATATCCATCAGTTTAGCAAGCCATCAGAAGTACAGTGGTGCCTCGCAAGACGAAATTAATTCATTCCGCGAGTTTTTTCGTCTTGCGGTTTTTTTCGTCTTGCGAAGCACAGTGTCGGAAAAGTTTTGGAAAAGCTTCAAAAATCACCAAAGTCTTCAAAAACCTCAAAAAAGGCTACCACACCGCGTTCTATGAGTTGCTCCTCGAAGTCAAGTCGCAACTGTATTAACGGTGTTAAGAAAAAGGAAACAAACTTGCAAGACGTTTCCGTCTTGCGAAGCAAGCCCATAGGGAAAATCGTCTTGCGAAGCAACTCAAAAAACCAAAAACCCTTTCGTTTTGCGAGTTTTCCGTCTTGCGAGGCATTCGTCTTGTGAGGTACCACTGTACAGAAAAGTAGTCGGAACCTAAGAAGCATAATAAATTATTTCTTGCCCTCCAATTTTACCACCTGCTAGCTATTTCT